TGCTACACGAGTAGTGACAAATCGCTGCACGACGGCTCTTTGCCAGGCGTCTCCCTGGTGTTCTGCCCCTGCTAGACGAGCTTCCTTTGCAAGGATCAACGATGGCCCGCATGCGTACCGTCTCTACTAACTGTGAAGCCCCTCGATTGCTTAGAATCTCAGTGCAATTCCCACGCCACACACCCCTAAACCCTAAACCNNCCCCAAACCCTAAACCACGGTTTAGGGTATCGCACCTTAGTGGCCCAAGTCTGCCAGAGGCAAGTTCTGGACTCCTGTGTACAAATGTTCAGAGAGCCACTGCTGGTTCACTGCTGGATGACGAGGCGGTGACTCCTGAACCCAGAGAGCCCACTACCCCTTAATTAAGGAATATACCTTAAACCATAATATTCAGGCCCCCTCTAATTTGAGCTATATTCCTTAATTAAAAGGTATTGGGTTCTCTGGGCATGACGCTCTTGGGCTGAAGGTCTGGGGACAGGCACGCGAAGCCGGAGGAGCGTGGGGAGGTCCGCTTTGCACATGCTTTGCGAGGGATTTCATCTTAGGGTTTAGGGTTTCGGGTTTCGGGTTTGGGGTTTAGGGTTTAGGGGGCTCATGTATACATGGCTCCAGCCAACTGACACCTGCCCAAAAACCACCAGCTACAGCAAGAAAGCACTGGGTGGCGGTGCTGGCAGTAGTCAGTAGTAGTCGTCGAAGAGTAGCAACACTGCACGATGCGAGTGACAATAACAACAAGAATCACCCACCTAGCACTCTCAATAGCACCATAAACAAATTTTCTAAACCCTAAACAACCCTAAACCCCTAACCCTTAAACACTAAGCCCGAACCCCAAACAATCTAAACCCCTAACCCTTAAACACTAAGCCCGAACCCCAAACAACCCTAAACTCCTAACCCTTAAACCCTAAACCCGAGTTTGAATCAACTAAACCCTAAACCCTAACCCTTATAAACGCTCAACCCAAGTTTGAAGTCCCTCTGCGCAAAGAACTAAGAAGGCCTCAGCTGAAGAAGGGCATCCCGGCCCGGGGGTCCTGCGGAAGACGAGGGGCAGCTTTAGGGCCTTTTTTGGGGCGTGGCGTCCCCGAAACCCCCCAGGTACCTACTACATAGGGCCTTAGGGGCTCTAGTAACTCTAGTACCCCTAAACCCTAATATAGTAGGTACCTGGGGGGTTTGGGTTCCGGGCTGAGGGCTCTTAAGGTCCAGGGTCTAGGGTTCAGGCTGGTACGATGTTCGATGCTAACTCCCCAGGTCCCCTGGCAAACTCGAACCCTAAGCGTTCAAGTAGGACGGCCGGCGAAGCTTGGGAAGGGAATCGGAGGAAGTGGGAACTCTGATGGTTGGGCTGCTTGAGTCATGCGGTGTAGTTTCACGGCGGCAGTCCAAGAACTCATTGGTTGTACAGTTGAGCGTTGCATGGTGCTAGGAATTACCGTCCAAAAGCTTTCGGTGAGTGAGTCACGTCGTGCAAACATAGAACCATGAGTCATGAGTCATGTCGTGCATGGACAGACCAGCATCCAACAACTTCAACAACACGCCGTCTTGCCGGCACTGCCCGATGCCAGCAGCAGCCTAATCGACCCCCCTCGCCTTTGAACTTTCCCAAACCCTAAACCCTAAACCCCTAAACCCGAAATCCTTAACCCTAAACCCTAAACCCTAAACCCCTAAACCTTAAACCCTGAACCCTGAACCCTAAAACCTAAAATCCTAAACCCAAACCATGGGGTCTAGGCTGAGACTTCGAGCTCGTCCACCTCGGAGGAAGGGACCTCCTACAGCTTCCGCCATGTCCGGCTCCCTGATGCAAGGCCTAAACCCTAAACCCTAAACCCTAAACCCTAATTAGACTAGGGGTCCCTTTAAAGGGGTCCTTAAAAGGGTTCTAAAAAGGGATCTATGATAGGCTTCTACATTATTCGGGGGCTTAATAATTAGAATAGGGGTTTTGGGGTATATCATACTGTACAAATATAGTAAGGAACCCCCAAAACAATAATATAGGTAATCATTGAGGCCGCTATATTAAAGACAAACTACAGATTAGAGTTTAGGGTTACTGTATCTATGGCTTGGCGCTCCCTCCAGGGCGAACAAGGCATCACGATTTCGAGTTCAGGGCCCGCCTTCTCCTACCCCATATGCCCAAAAAGCAGCACCCCAAAAGAATCCTACAAGACTCCCCTATAAGAAGCCTCGAAGACCCCTGCAAGAAGAAGCCTGGACGGCTGAAACCCTAAACCTACACCCTAAACCCTAAACCCTAAACCCTCTGAAAGTCCAGGCTGGACTTCATCTCTGTCGTCTTGAAGAACGGTTTAGGGTTTAGGGTTTAGGGTTTAGGGTTTAGGGTTTAGGGTTTAGGGCTCAGTCCAGGCTGGACTTCATCTCGGTCGTCTTGAAGAGCTCGAGGATCTTCTCCTTCTGCGACAAGGCCTGACTGCGTCACATGGAAGCTCAGTCTTCGGACGGAACATCAAATATCTATGATCCGTTATATATATATATATATATATATGTATATACATATATAACATTAATAATAATACTACTAATAATAATACTAATAATAATAACAGTAATGATAATAATACTAGCAATAAGAATCATAACAATAACAATAACGAAATAATACTAATATACACACAGTATATGCATATTGTGGTGATGCAAACAAGAGCTGCATTGTATCATTTTGCTTGATTGCAGTTAAGGTACATTCTAGATTATGTTCCAAGTTTGGAAAGCAGTGCGTGCGCCTGTGACTCCTGCGAGAGCATTCAGCACTATAGTGATGAGTTGAAAGCTTGCGGTTTAGGTGCGGGTGCACAGCAGTTTCTTGCCGGAGTACGTGAAAACACCACAGCCTCATGACGAGTAAGTCCTGAAACCTTCCAGCCCTGAAGCCCTAAACACAAAAAACAAACTTAGCATCAATCGTAGCATCCCTCAAACCACCAAGCACTTAATCCCTGAGCCTAAACCCCAACAACCTCAAAACCTGAAACTCCTAAACCCTAAACTCTTAAAATTTCATTATCTATATACCTGAAACTCCTAAACCCTGCACTCCTAAAATTTCATAATCTCTAAACCTGAAACCCTATAAACCCTAAGCCCTAGGGGGCCTTGATCTTGTCGTCCCCTACTAGGGCCGAGTCAACGTCCGAGGTCTCGATGCCACACTGACGGAAGCGCTGCAGAGCCGGCTAGCTACCCAGAGAACCCAATACCCCTTAATTAAGGAATATACCTTAAATCATAATATTAAGGCCCCTATAAATTAAACTATATATTCCTCAATTAAGGGGTATCGGGTTCTCTGGGCATGAGGGCTTCGGGCTTATATAAGAGTTACAAGAGAGGCTACTAAAAGGGTTCCACAAGCGTTTCATACAGGGTTTCTGATCCACAAGGGTTGTCCGTACAGGTTCCATAAGGGTTCTGTGGGGCTTAGACCTTGGGGGTTTGCTATAAGGGCTCTCTCATTCTTTCTGGTCTAGGGCATCGTGGGCCTTAACAATTACAACAAGGATTTGGGCTATCATACAGTAAGCTCATGATACCAATCTGGGTTTTTGAAGGGTGTATAGGGTATGCAGGGCCTGAATATGTAAAATAGGGTTCTGGCTGGGATATCATACAGCAAGATTAAGAATACAAACATACTTCACAATTATCTTATGTATGCTTCTATGCTGTCAGCACAGAACTGAACACTTGGGAGTCGGGCTATAGGGCTTATGTGTTTAGGGTTCAGTAAAGATTTAGGGTTTAGCGTTTAGGGTTTAGGGTTCAGTAAAGATTAGTGGTTTGTCTTGAGAGCTCTTTTGCGTCTGAACCCTCGTTCAGAGTATTGAAACGATCGTCGCCGAACTTGAATAGGGTACCAAATATGACTTCTCTTTCGGGCTTTGGACTACACATATACGCTGATGGGCTTTGGACTGTAGGTATATACGCTGATCGATTGGGGTTTCGCGTTTCGGCTCGAATCCCAAGCTTCGCACCTTTGTGGTGGCAGGTCTCCAGGACACTAAGAGGCTTTACAGCTCGAAGGGCTTAGATCATGTTATGTTGCACTATAATGCACAAGATACCCTAAACCCTAAACCCTGAATCGTAAGCCGTGCTGTATGAAGATGCCTAAATTTAAAGATCCGCGATTTCTGGTCGAGGGCCCAGGGCTGGTCCTACATGCTGGCTTCAGCTGGAAGGATTTTTCTGCACGAAGGCCTGGCCGCAGAACGGATCCTATGACATAACATATTATAGTGTAGCATATGATATAGAAAATGTAATTTACAATATAATCCTATATACGTCCTATCTAATAACGCAGCATAAATGTAACATAATCCCTCGAGGCTTCTTGGAGTGAGAGCAGGTGACGATGCTCCGCACCACACTGCGCTGAAAGCTGTCCTTTCATAAGCTGTTCAGTAAGCAACTCGGACAAGTATATATATATATATATATATTACATTTTCGGGTTAGCTATATTTTATTATAGGCACCAATACCCAAAAAAAGTAAAGAAAAGATACTACTGAACATCCTAGATTCATAACAACACATCCCCGCATCCCCACAGAAACCCGTGAGCCCTAAAGGGGTGGCCTTAGTCAAGCCCGAAAAAACACCAAACCGCAAGTCCCGAGACCCTAACCGCGAAATCGCTTAGAGCACTGCACCTCAAGCCCCAAAGCCCTAAGCCCTAAGCCCTAAGCCCGAAGCCCTAGACCCTAAACCCGACACTAAATCCGACACCACTAACGCCAAATCCACGTCGACCCACATCCCCTAAGTCCCGAAGTCCCGAAGGGCTCAGCCTCATGTAATATAGGGGCTTGAAGCATCAGAATAGGGTCTTGGGGTACATTGTGGTATAACTTTTAGGGTTTAGCGGTTTAGGGTTTAGGGTCGGTATAACTATAATCCCCTATAAACCCTAAACAACGATAAGTATGACCCTCTGCCTCGGCACAGAGGGCTTCGATCTCGTCGTCCGTGAGCTCCGAGAGCCGTCGGATCATCACTTCCTCTTGAAACTGCTTTGGACCCGGGCGTTGATGAGTTTAGGGCTCATAAGGCTTTCGGTTTGGGAGTTACGGGGTTACCTAGAGTCTCCATTGTAGTTCCTTTTTGGGGATGCCTTATAAAAATCCTTAATATATATAGTTGGTTAAACCAAAAAAAGGAACTACAATGGAGACTACAGTTAGTATACAGGTTTCTTTTATTGTTGGGTTCCATAAGGGTTGTCGGTTCGGAGTGTGGGATTGTGGGACTCGGGGGTGAAGGACTCTGAGGCGACGGGGTTTGCTGTGGGACGCTGCGATGAGCAGCTTGGGATTTTGGAAGGGTTGAGGGTTTAGGGTTGAGGGTTTAGGGTTTAGGGTTCAGGGTTTAGGGTTCAGGGTTCAGGGTTTTGGGTTTAGGGTTTAGGCTTTTGTTTTAAGGGTGCAGTGGGACTTTCGCTCGCATACTCCCGGCCCTTGTTGGGCTTGCACAAAAGACTGGAAACTAAGGCCTTCCATACACCCACTCCTCGATCCGACCCTCGCTGTAGGTGGTGTAGGTGACTCCGCAGCTTATTCACCCCCAGGTACAGGACCTTCAATATGAGGGTGGTTGTCAAAATTATGGTCCCTCTTTGGGTGCCTATTATAATACGGCACCTATTATTTAGGGTACCCCAAAAGGGACCATAATTTTGACAACTACCCATGAACAACAGGGCGAACTGTAGAAGCAGGTCCATCCCCACCGTCAGCAACAACACCGGAGTCGTCACCAGCATCTGCCAAACAAAGACCATCCCCGGGAGGATCAGCAGCATTAGCAGAATCATCACCGTGAGCAGGGTCAGGGTGGCCATGTAGATCTGCAGGAGAACCAGCACCATGTACAGCAGACACCCCAACAGAAGACACGGAGACGACGGCAGGGGCTTGGACTTCAGAAGATTCAGGTAAACTGGGCGGTACTGGAGGTACTGGATCTGTAACCCGAGCAGGCAGCAAGCAAAGGATGCCGCCTTCTTGACAAAGCAGAGGCTGCGACGAGGAGGAACATGTGCGTTTGCGTGAGGATCGACAGGAGCATTCATGGCACGACCATTCTAAGTGTCAGAAGCTTCTTCATTTGGTCCTGTTCTAAGCGAAGGCCGAGCGCTGAACTGCACTGCCTCCAACGTTGTAAAGATTGCACCATTCCTGCGATGTTAAGCGGGAAATAGCCGAATAGCTTATTCTGCCACAATTGCTAGAGTTGCTTCAAGTCAAACGCGATATCGACATAGAAAAGCCGAAAAGCACTCACTGACCTGTGCCTCACCGGGCAGTCTGTGATGTTCTGGGTCGATCGTCGAACGACCCAGAACATTGCGGACTGCCCGGTGAGGCTTCTCATGGAGGCGGGGGGTGCAGGTCCAGCTCTGGACATACTGGCACTCCACGATGTGGTCCACGCTCCATGCTCCCTTAGGTCCCACGACCCAAGGGAGCATGGAGGTGTTCTCGCCATCCTTCTCCAGGCTCTCCAAGGCAGGAGGCATCCAGTGCAGGCGGCCTGGAAACTTCACCGATCCTACTCCGAGGTATCGTCGCGAAAGCGGCTGCAGGTGGAGCTGGCCGTTGACATCCAGCAAGATGTGGGGTTCGCCAAGGTCTGCGAAGCCCGTTCCCAATAGCCCAGCACCCGTGCATCATCCGGCAATGGCAAATGGCAGAAACACGTTGGGTTGGCAGCGTGCCCTCCTCGAGGCCGGTGCCTGCTGTTGGCAGAAACGGAAGGACCTTCCATTTCTGCCAACTGCACCAGCTGGGGGACTAGGCTGAGATTTAGCTCCAGGCATAGGAGCCGCATGAAACTGCCCTTCACCGCATCATCAAGTAGGACTTCGACGCGGTCGACTTGAAGTTGCTGCCAGAGGCATCAGCGAAGCCTCGGAACAAACTTACCCTAAGGGTCCATGTACTCATATAACATATACATGGGCCCTAAAGTACCTATAGAGGGACTACGGTGACTGTTTTTGAATATGCG